CACTGCCCTGTGCTGGATGGGAGTGTGAGTCCCCTTTTATCCCTGGGGTGACACCAAATGATGGAAAAAGCATTTTAAGCACCAGGACAGTGCCTTGATGGCTCTCGTGATGGGACTGGCTGTGCTGGGAGGGTGCTGAGGAGCTGCAATCTCCATGAGCATCTCCACAGCCTGGCTCAAGGGCACTGGGGAGGAGGAAAGGAGCTTGGACCCCCATGACAGGGATTTGGTGGCTGAGGCACAGCCTAGTTGTGCACAGGAGGGATTTGCTCCCTGCTGGCAGCCTGGTCCTGGGGAGTTTCTCTGGGATATGTCCCTGCCTGTCCCTCATGTCCCCAGGGATTTGAGGGTGGGTGATGCTTGCCAGGCCACTCACTGCCTACCTCCCTCTGGCAGGGACTGGTTGAAGACACCCTCGATGGTCTCACAGGAGCTTCCATCTCCCCCACACACACGGCACTTGTCTTCCTTTGAGTCAGAGCCCAGGACACGGTCACAGCCCACATGCTGGAGGAAGGAGCAGCAGGGAATTAGCCATCCTGGTGGGAACTTTTCCTTCTCACACCTGACCTGCAGCATCCCAGGGAGCCTATCCCTGGGCTCTTTCCACTCACTGCACTGTACACCAGGCAGTGCTCAGCAGCATCACCTCTGCCACCCCTATCCAGTGACAGCCTTGGTGTCTCTCCAAGGCTGGGGGGAGGGGTGCAGGTAGAAATTCTATGACTGTGGGATAAGGCAGAGGTTGGGGTGCCTGTGTTGAGCTGCTGGAGCTGCAGCAGCCCAAGGAGAGCCACATCCCTGCAGCTCATGTGTCCCCACAAAGCCTCCAGCTCTGCTCTCCTGCCACAGTATGTGTCACCAGGTCACCAGCACGGCTGTGGCTACCTATGGTGCAATCCCCATTTTCTTTCACAGTGTATTCAGCCCCATGGAGACAAAAAGATCCCAGAGACACAGGAAGGGAGACAGACGGAGACAGAGAGGGAGCCTGTCTGTCTGCCTGCTGGGGGACATTCACTACTCCCACAGTGCTTTCTTATAATTAAACTTTTATAGCCCTCCAGATCCCATTTCAAGGGAAATATCAAGTGCCTGGGGCTACACGAGCTGTGAGTGCAGAGGTTCATCACTAATGCAGGAGAATGCACACTCAGTGCCTGCAGAGGGCACAGGCACAAGCCCAGCAGTGGCTGTGCTCCTGCCCCCCCAACTGAGCTGGGTGTCTGGGCAGAGGAATCATAGAATCGTAGAATCAACCAGGTTGGAAGTGACCTCAAAGATCATCGAGTCCAACTCTACCATTGTTAGTAG